CAGAGGCAGCTTCATACCCAGGGCACTGAGACTTCCCTTTTCACAGCTGTCTCCAAGGTTCCTTGCCAAGCCCTGATCTCTTTGGCCTAGGGATGCCAGCCTCCAGGTGGGGACTGGGGAATTCCCTGCTGGAATTACAGCTCATTTCCAAACTACAGAGATCACTTCCCCAGGAGAAAATGGATGCTTTGGAGGGTGGACTCTATGGCACTGTACCCCACTGAGGTCCCTGTCCTCCCCAGGCTCCACCCCCCAAATCTCCAGGAGTTCTCCAACCTGGAGCTGGCAACCCTACCCCCTCACCCCCTGCGGGTGGCCAGGGAGGACCTGGAACCCCGACTTGACCTCCTCCAGACTTGCTCATTTTCAAATGCTTTGGGTCCGAGACTGCCTTTAGCAGCACAGGATGGTGTAGACTTTTATCCTGCCTTCAGCCTTACGAGATGATTTAAGCCATTGATTCCAAAGCACTGGTACTTTTGGAAGCAATTTCAATAGGTGAGACATATCCCCCCCCCAAATTTAAATGAGAGACATGTCCTGACCTGGCTAGCCCAGGCTAGCTCAATCTTGTCAGATCATGAAAGCTAAGCAGGGTTGGCTCTGATAAGTATTTGGATCAGAGGTCATTTCGGGGGGGATCGCAGTTCCCCCGGGTGAGGTACGGGGGGGGGGCGGGGGGTGTGGCCTTATGACACACTTCCGGTGATGTCAGGGGGTGTGGCCTTATGACACACTTCTGGTGATGTCAGGGGGTGTGGCATATGCTAATGAGTTATGCTAATGAGTTCCCCTAGCTCTTTTTCTACGAAACGACCCCTGATTTGGATGGGACGGAGACCACCAAGAAAATCCAGGATCACTATACAGCAATGCTCCCTCTAAGCTGTGGAGTCTTGTGAAGAACAATTCTACTTTGTGAGCTACTGACATTAAAGTTGTGAGCCAGCAATTTGGCTGCTGCCTAAATTAGTCTGTTCTGGAGCCCTCCTTCCTGAGCTAAGACAAATATGTGTGAGCTGGAGGCTAAAAAACTGTGAGCTAGCTCACACTAACTCAGCTTACAGGGAACATTGCTATACAGACGCAGGCAATGGCAAACCACCTGCCATGACAACCCAATAAACATACTATGGGGAGAAAACACCCTACTGGGTCTCTGTAAGTTGGCTGTGACTCAACAGACCTTTACACAGTGAGAGGAACGCTGTATTCTTATACCTAGACATGTTTACCTTGAAGAATAAGAATTACATCCTAGATTATTTTAAAAGGCCTTTGTTTTCATTTCACATTCTGTCCTAGACTAAGGTTGCCAACCTCCAGGTGAGGTGCTGCAGATTTCCCAGAATTACATTTGATCTCCAGACGATAGAGATCAGTTCCCCTGGAGGAAATGGCTCCTATGGTGTTGTACCCTGCTGAGATCCCCCCAGGGTCTATCCCCAAACCTCCAGGGTTTTTCCAAGCGGGAGTCAGCAACCCTAGTCTAGACCAACCATTCGAAAAAGCACGGGGGTAAGTAAAGCGTGCTCTCTTAAGATCCATGAGGTAGTACCAGCAAAGCAAAAAGCCCATCAAAGATCTTTTAGCTTTGCTGGTACCTTTTCTGTCACCGTAAGTGAAAGCAGGGGTCATTTCACAGAAAAAGAGGTGCAGGAGCTCATTAGCATCACTCATTAGCATGACTTATTTGCATGTGGCACGCCCCCTGACATCACCAGAAGTGTGTCAGAAGGTAACACCCACCGCTCAGGTTCCACTGGACTGTTTCGGATTGCTAGCTATTTGTGGGGGTGGGGGGACGTGCAGATCTGTCCTCACAGAGGAGGGAGAGCTTGTGCCTGGATAAAACTTGGCCTTAAAGGTGCCACTGGACTGTTTTGGACCGGGGGGGCGGGGGGGGGGGCTCTGCAACTTACCTGGCTGCTTTTTGCTCTGACTGAGGGCTGCTGGGAGCAGGGGGTGGGGCTTGTTGCATGTGCCCGCCCCCTGGGCTCTTTACTGCCGGAGCTCCGCTCCTGTGCGCTCCCACAGGAAATGACCCCTGAGTGAAAGTATGGAGGAGGAGGAACACAGCAAGCACACTTCACTCCCTTCCTCATATGGCCTGTAAAACCCCAGCTCTGGTAGCCAGTAGTATGCTCTGTATTTCATAGCTATTGAGACTGCCGTTATGACTTTGCATGAGCGCCTACTCTCGGAGTGTGCGTCCTGACTAGGTAGAAGCAAGACACAACTGCAACTTCCTTTAAAGGCAAATGATTCTCCTACATCAGAAAGCCACCCGTTTTCTTCACCCTCCAAGGAAGTTATTCGCTTCAATAAGTTCTTTTGGGCACCTCACCGGACCCTTTCGTTACTTATTTAATATCTCACAGCAAACTAACAGGTTTCCTGGCACACTGCCTAGAAATTATTGGGACTAGCTGAGAGAGAGTGTAGCTGGCCCAAAGTCACCCAGGTTGCATTATGGGTTCGAAAGCAGGTCTCTGCAGATCAGGTACAGTTTTCAGTCTGCTATGCCACATTGGTGCTCTGCTCCGCCGCCCCCCAGTCGCGCACTGTCCCGTTGCTCCTGTCATGATCTCTCTCTCTCTCTCTCTCCCCCCCCCTCCTTGTGTGTGGAGTATAGAATGATTTGGTATATTTATGGGTATATCCAGATGGCCATTTACCAAGTGGTAATTTGTGGGCCTATATCCATGTGGGGAGCCACCATCTGTCTCCAACGTTCGCCCATGTGGCCAGGACAATTTTACCACTCCTCTGCTTTCTTGGCTCACTAATTGGTTGCAGGTGTGTGTGAGCAAACTCCTGTCCCCATGTAGGCTGATGCTACAGATGATCGGCGCACACCCCATGTGTTCCTGTGCACGCCATGATACGATGCCGCTTGGGAAATGGGTGCCTGCGGTGCAGAAATTCTATTTATTGCCTTTTTCTCCCACCCTTCCCTCAAGGAGCCTAGTGTTGCATACACGGGTCTCTGTTCTGTCCTCGTGATAGCTCTGTGAGGTGGGTTCAGGCCCGTAGCCAGGAATTTTTAAGTCGGGGGGGCATTTAAATGTCTTAGGGGGCCCTGGCTAATCGAATTAAAGATAATTTGATTAAAGTCAATTAACTTACGCTGAAGTTAATGAACTTACCTTTCTGCCCTTGCCAGCCTGGGAGGCTGTGGGGGAGAGAGAGACATGCAAGAAAGTGGGGCACAGGAACCCTGCATGGGATCCTGGGCACTTGGGAGCCCACCAGCAGGGCGCTTTTTTGTAGAAAAAGCCCAGCAGGAACTCATTAGCATATTAGGCCACACCCAACAGCAGAAACACATTAGCATATTAGGCCACACCCCTGACAGCACAGCTCATTAGCATATTAGGCCACACCCCATATGTTACCAGAAGTGTGGTCATCCAACCACACCCATCTTTTGCTTCTTATTCTGTTTACTTTGTTGTCAAAACCCTGGGCTTTTTTTTTTGTAGGAGGGACTCCTTTGCATGTTAGGCCACACACCCCTAATATAGCCAATCCTAATGAGTGTCTGCTGTTAGGTGTGGCCTATTATGCTAATGAGTTCCTGCTGGGCGTGGCCAACTCAGGAGCCAGACGGAACTCCGTTCCTGGGCGTTCCTGCCCAAAAATAGCCCTGCCCACCAGTAACAAGTACTTTCCGCGGGGAAATAGACTTTCTGGAGGAAATAGAGAGGTGCTGTCTGGCTCTGCGCAGCCACCATAGCCAGTTCTTCGCGCCAAACAGCTACACAGGAATATCTGGCTCCTTCCCTGCACCCACCACCACTCAGGAGCTGTGGGCTGGATGGGGCCTTGCCAGTAAGTCGGGGGGGGGGGCTAGCCCTGAAATGCCCCACTGTAGCTACAGGCCTGGGTGGGTTACATTTGGTGTAGTGGTTAAGTGCGTGGACTCTAATCTGGGAAATCCAGATTTGATTCCCCGCTCCTCCACATGCAGCTGCTGGATGACCTTGGGCAAGCCATAGTTCTAACAAGAGCTGTCCTTGAAAGGGCAGTTCTGGAAAGAGCTCTCTCAGCCCCACCTACCTCACAGGGTGTCTGTTGTGGGGAAGGGAAGGGAAAGGAGATTGTAAGCCGCTCTGAGACTCCCTTGGGTAGTGAAGGGCAGGGTATAAATCCAATCTCTTCTTCTTACATTGAGAGAAAGGTCACTCTGTGAGCTTCATGGCCTGGAATTTGAATGCAGGTCTCCCCAGTATTATCTTCTCCTTCAGTTCGGTGACTTATATGGGGAAGAGATAGAAAATTGACCCTGTGATGTCTAAACCGGGATCCAAAGTGCTGTTTGCAGTGGATTCCGTACGCTTTACCTGAGTAAACCCACTGTTTTGATCTGCTGCTCCTGGCCCAGCATCACCTTCCAGGTGACCTTCTTCTAAGTTTTAGGGGTATTTTCGGAGGCAGTGGGGAGAGACAGGGAAGGTTGCTTTTAGAAGGAAGGGGCCTCGGAAACTTGCCTCCTACATGATCCTTTAAATCCCCACTTTGGTACCAGTGACTTTTTTTTTTAAATTGTATTAATAAATCATGTCCTTCATTTTTAAAAGTTTTTATGACTGTTCTTGGGAAAAGGGGGGGAAAACACAGTTGTTCGGCCTCAAACACAGCATGGATATTTTAAACTAACGTTGATGATGTGCATATGTATTAAGCACTGCCCTGGATGGTTCAGGCCAACCCAATCTCATTGACTCTCAGAAGCTAAGCAGGGTCAGCTCTGGTCAGTATTTGGATGGGAGGCCACCAATGAAAACCAGGGTTGCTATGCAGAAACGGGCAATGGCAAACCTACCTCTGATTGTCTCTTGCCTTGAAAACCCTACAGAGTCACCAGAAGTCAGCACTTCGCACAATCATGTATGATGTGAATTCTGCGTGGCTAAGGCACCATGATGTTCCTTCTGCAGCTGCTTCAAAACCCTCTTTTTTTACTTCCTCTCTGCCTGCTTCCCTCCCCCCTCCAGGCTGCAAACTCATCTTCCCCCCTTGGGACGGTGGGATCCGCTACCGGGGACTGACCCGCGAACAGGTGAAGATGGCCCGCTTCCTGCCCTTTGACTATGAGATCGAGTACGTGTGCCGTCCGGAACGGGAGATTGTGGGGCCCAAGGTGCGCAAATGCTTGCCCAACGGCACCTGGACCAACAGCGATGTGGAGAGCCGCTGCTGTGAGTCTCTTAGGCCTGGGAGTGTGGGTGGGCATTCGACTGCAACTCCCAGATGGATGAAAAGAAATTGTAGATCGGAAAGCCTCACGCGGCTAGAAAGAGGGTTTGGCAGGGGCCGTTTGGCATGATGAGCTTCTGGCTTGGGGACTGCTAGATGGGTTGGAGCTGCTTGCCTTGGACAGCCTTCCCAGTTAGGGTTGCCAATTCCAGATTGGAAAATTCCTGGAGATTCGAGGATGGACCCTGGGGAGGGCAAAGTGTGGGAATGACCTCATCAGGGTATAATACCATACAGGCCACCCTCCAAAGCAGCCATTCTCTCCAAGGGAACTGACCACTCTAGTCTGGAAATAGCTGTAATTCTGGGAGCTCCCCAAGCCCCAGCTGGAGGCCGGCAACCTTATTCCTAGACCTTAATAGGTAGGGCTTCTCTCCCCCACCCACCCCCACCCCCAATCTCTCGCTCACGTGCCTTTAATAGCAGAATGTCTTGCAGGAAGGTACACAGCTTGTACAGAGATGCTGTCATGGAAAGCTTGGCCAGTTGGATTTCTGCCACGCTTGCAGCTATTAAAGGCACACAAACACTTCCAGGGAAGAAAAAACCCAACCTTATTTACACAGGTATTTATTTAGATCTGCCACAGGCAGATCCTAATTATGGGAGACTCTTTTGTTTTCAGAGGGAGAGCTTTGTCCCAGTACCCACTGGTGCAACCGAAGATCCATTTTTGCACCCAGCACAGCCCAGCCTCATTAAATCTGAATGACTCTTCCTCTGCTCCCTTAAGGCTTTTAATATCTGCAGGCTCGGCCTTTCTAACAGTTTTGTCTCTCCCCCCCATTTGTTTTTGCTGATCATGTGGCCTGAAGGAGAGTTCTGGGGAACTTGACTGCTTCCTCACTGTGTTATTAGTCTACTGTTGCTTTCGGGTTATCCGTAGCAGGGAATTGTGGGGTTGGACATCTCCCTTACTTGGCACTCAGGAGATCTATGAGTTTAGCACTCTGAAGCCTTTCCTGGTTTGGGTCAGAGAATTGACAGGGAATGGGTGGGAACTGAGCAAGCAGCGCAAATTCTTAGCCCAAATATATTTCAGAGACAGGCATGCCAACCTCCAGGTGGGACCTGGGGATCCTCTGGAATTACTGCTCATCTCCAGACTACAGAGATCAGTTCCCCTGGAGAAATTGGATGCTGTGGAGGGTGGACTCTATGGCCACTGTACACCCCACTGAGGTCCCTGTCCTTCCCAAGCTCCATCCTCAAATCTCCAAGAGTTTCTCAGGCTGGATCTGGTAACCCTGCCCATCCCCTGCCAACAGTCAGGGGGGACCTGGCAACCCTAGTTTTATTGGGATATTTATACCCCACTTTCCTCCCCTATGGTGACCTAAAGTGGTTTATGATATTGTTTTCTCCTCATACATTTTATCCTCACAGCAACATTCCTGTGAAGGTGAGAGAGAGAGAGTGAGAGAGAGAGTGAGTGAGTGAGAGAGAGAGAGAGACTGGCCCAAGGTCACCTCGCAAGCTTCCATGGCAGAGTGGGGAACGGAACTTGGTTTCTCCCAGATGCTAGTCCAACACTTTAGCCATTATACCAGGCTGGCTTCATGTCAGTCATGTATCTACATAACCATAGTTTCATAGAGTCAGAAGGGACAACTGCCTTGCTTGAGGACTGGACCATCTTCCCACCTCAGCATGCCCCCTCACCTGTCGACCTGAGCAATCCAGATCACAGTGTTCCTCAAGTACAGAGAAGATACTCTGTGGCCTTTTCCACACAAGTTATTTGCCCCAGTCTCAGTCCTATTGGGTTCCTGCCCCCCACTTCTCCACAGCATTATGGTGCATCCATGCACCTTCTGGGGTTTCCTCATCTTTTCCCCCCAACCATCCCCAAACTTGTTTTGCTATGAAGTTTTGGGAAAGATCACAGCAAGGTCTGGATGGCTGCCATGTGGGTGGGAAAATCCAGAATTTGCCTGTCCTGCCCGCACAGCAGTAATTTTCCCTGCCCAGTCCCTGTAGCAGCAATTTCTGTCACCACTGGTCAGCCTTCTAGAAAATCTGCAATTGCATATTGTTATGTCATTATAGTGTTATAACTGTCTGTTGTATCCAATTCCCAGCTTTCATTTGAAAACAAAAGTGTCTAGTTTAGAGTTGCCCCCCAGGAGAAATTGTGGGGTGGGGACTGATGCACTGATATCGCACTGGTGCATGAGGTCACTACTGGTGAAAAGGGAAAGCCATGTCGTGATTTGGGGGGCAGCAGTCTAGGAATCACCCAAAAATCTATGGTTAAACCCGTTCCCCCCCGTTTTTCTCTCGTCAGCCTTGGAAGCACCAATGGGGAACTGGTAGGGGTGCTGGCTCTGAGTTGGGAAATTCCTGGAGACTTTGGAGGTGGAGCTTGAAGATGGCAGGGTTTGGGGAAGGGAGGGACTTCGATGGTGTATAATGTCATGGAGTCCAACTTCCAAAGCGGCCATTTTCTCCAGGTGCACTGATCTCTGTCACCTGGAGATCAGTTGCAATAGTGGGAGATCTCCAGCTACCACCTGGAGGCTGGCAACCCTAGGAACTAGGGTTAATGGTGGGAGGTCTCCCTCTATAGATGTCTTGTCTAGTCTATCCCCTTTCCTTGCAGAGAGATGCCTTTCCCCTTATATATCAGCAATGGACATGGCTAGAGACTTACTTTTGGGAAGTCAGAGAACGTGATACCCATATTCTTATTATAACAATAAATGTTTGTTAAATTTACATTTTTTAAAAAAGCCCCGATGGTGGTGGCGGTGGGAATGGCTGTTCCTGGGGGACTGAGATGGGGAAACCTGTCATGGGGTAATTCTGTGAGTGCTGCACTGAATGGGGGGGAATACCTGTCAAGGGCAGCTGTAGAGCAGATATCTCTAGAATACTCAAGCCTGTGCAAGAGTATTTGGTCATAGTTCGGACATGAATGCTTCCTTCCCTTCCTTTCACAGTACGGACCTGTCCCAAGATGCACCTAAGCCTGGAGAATGGGCAAACTCACGTCTGGGCGATGGAGCGGGTGCCTGTAGAAGGTACCTGGGTGGAATATCGCTGCAACAGTGGCTTTCACCTGGTGGGCAGTCCTCGCAGCAACTGTACCAAGATGGGCCGCTGGAGTTCTGCAAAGCCTGTCTGCGAATGTAAGTCACAGTGGCAGTGTAGGGATACGATCTGGTTGGGGGGACTACGGCAAAGTAGGGAGCAGACGGCTCCTGCAGGCAGTGGAACCTTTCTTCAGAAGCAGCGATGTCGATCTGTGTCTTCTGTCAAGGTTTCCAAGAGAAACATAAGGGGGATCTTACTATCACAAACATGGAACTGGGCTGGCGTAATGGCAGCCGTATCTGTTGTTGTTGTTGTGTACACTCTGGCTGGGGGCAGCACATACAGCTTTTGGTCTCTGATGATAAGGGTTTAAAGAAGGAAACTTTTTTTCATGTTAGAAGGTGTAAAACATTCTGGGAGATTTCAAGAATTATACGGGAAGAGGCAGGAAAAAAGACTGTGCCTTTGCCATTTTGTAGTCTAGGTTTCCCAAACCTCCAGGTGGGGCCTGGAGCTCTCCTGGAATTACAGCTGACCTTCAAACTACAGCAGTCAGTTTCCCTAGGAAAAAATGGTAGCTTTGGAGGGCAGACTCTATGGTGTTGCATGTCACGGGCTGGAGTGCAGGCAGGGCGAGAGAGGGGTAGTCCAGGTCCAGTCCAAGGTCGAAAGCCGAGAGGTCAAGGAACCAAAACACCAAGTCCAAAGCACAAACCGCAAACGTAGTCATCGAGCCAGAGTCCAGGGGGTCAGGAGCCAAAACACCAGAGTCCAGGGCACGAACCAAGAGCGTTGTCGTCAGAGCCAGGGTCGAGGAGCCAAGAGTTCAAAGCGGGAAACAGGAATCAGGAACACGGGTCAGGTGGGTGCAGAGTGTCGTCAAGCTGACTAGTTGCTAGCACAAGGGATTGACCGAGAGTGAGGAGCTAAATATCCCTCCGGGCTGTTGTCAATTACCGGCCAGCTTGTGTGTCTCGGCTCCTCTTAGAACTCAGGGTTGAGAGACCGCCTGCTGTGCAGGCGCGCCTCTCACCATTGGGATGCCAAATCCTGCCGGCGCTGATCTCGCAAACGGGCCACCGGTGGGGGCGAATCAGGGGGACTGTTTGACGTGCATTGTTCCGCCTCAGCTGTTACCGGAGCAGCCTCTGCGGCTTCATTGGGGCCATGTGTAAATTCTGCTGGAGCCGGGAGGTCATCCTCATTAGTACTCAGGACTTCTGTTGGGGCCGGGAGCTGATCCTCGGCAGCACTCATGACACTGCATCCCTGCTGCCCTCCCCAAACTCCACCCTCCCCAATCACCATCCCTAAATCACCAGGTATTCCCCAGCTCGGAGTTGGCAAACCTAGGTTGCGGTCACATGCGCCAGAAAAAACGGAAGGGAAGCGATGCTATTTCCTCCAGAGGAATTTTACCCGCAGTTGCGCAATCACATAGTCCTTGGAAGCTGCGGGCACAGCCCGCCACTGCGTGATCAGACGCAACCACGGGTGAGTGGGGGTTTTTTTGCCATTTGTTTCCGATGTGCTTAAACGAGGGATTGATGAATCGCATCTCCGCACTGAGGGCTCCCTATGGAGTTTGCGATGATGCGCATACTGAGAAGGGGGGGGGACAACGGCACGGAGTTGGGACGGCCTGATCAGACCATCTCAATGGCATGAGAGCACGCTGAAGCGATCAGACAGGGTTAAGTCCATCCATAGCCCGTCCCAACCCGTTTTCTACCGGACTTCCCCCGGTGTCTTTTAACTCCGCTTCTGCAGTGGAGCAGAATGGGGTTGCCAACGGCTGCGGGATGCTTCCCAGATGTTGTTGTCTGATCGCACCCTTTAAATCCACCCAGCATTCGCACCTATGGCGGGTCTAATTCTGCGTATGATCGCAGCCCTACACACAACAGTGCTAATACACATCCAGTGGTCTTCAATATATGCACTTAAGTAAGGAAACAATCTTTCTAGGGTTGATTAAAGCATTTTCAGCCGATTATTCATTTACCTTAATTCAATGTAAATATATTTACTTACTATCAAAACCTCCATAGAGGTGTTTTTTCTTGAAGACGTTGTGAGATATGTGAGATAATGTATAATCTAATAGACAAATACTGCCATGCACTGTTAGGAGGAAAGGCCTTAAGTATTTAAAGATAAGATAAAAGAGCCTCAAAACTGGGGGACTCAGTTAAGAGGCTATTAGCCACAAGGTATAGACAGGGGCTCTGGGGCAAGGGATGCTCTGTCTTCTTGGCGCTTGGGGGGGTCAACAATGGGAGGGCTTCTTATGTCCTGGCCCCACTGGTGGACCTGGCACTGGTATTTCTGGCCACTGTGTGACACAGGGTATTGGACTGGATGGGCCTTTGGCCTGATCCAACATTGGCATATCTTATGTTCTTTATGTTCTTATGACTCTCTTCCAAGGGAGACTCGCCTGGCTCCCTCATTACAGCTGTTAGAAACTAGGGCTGCCAGCTCTGGGCTGGGGAATACCTGGAGATTTTGGGGGTGAAGCCTGTGGAGGGTGGGATTTGGGGAGGGGAGGGGAGGGACATCAGCGGGATATAATGCCAGGGAGTGTGCCCTCTAAAGTAGCCATTTTCTCTACTGGAATGATCTTGGTCATCTGACAATCAATTCTAATAGCCGGAACTCTCCAGGTTCCACCTGGAGGCTGGCAACCATAGTTTAGATACCAAGTCAAGAATATTACTTCACAGGGCTTTGAAGATGAGTCAGTTAGCTGTATTTGCACCCTATCGGGTTGCCACAAACTGCAGTTGTTTATCTGTAAGTAGTTTGTGTGCATATGTGCGTGTTTGGTGTAGTGGTTAAATGCGCAGACTCTAATCTGGGAGAACCGGGTTTGATTCCCCACTCCTCCACTTGCACCTGCTGATGTGACCTTGGGTCAGTCACAAGCTCTAGCACTGCCCTCCTTGAAAAAGAGCAGTTTGTGTCAGAGTTCTCTCAGCCCCACCCACCTCACAGGGTGTCTGTTGTGGGGAGGGGAAGGGAGAGGAGTTTGTAAGCCGCTCTGAGACTCCAAGTGAAGGGCGGGGTATAAATCCAATCTCTTCTTCTCTTCTCTATATGTACACACTGCTTTGAATTCATACTGTTGGTACAGTGCTGTGAATAATTTTGTGGCTCTTGAAGGCAAGATATAAATATCTCAGCTAAACTCCATTTTCTTTTGCATTTTTCAGTAGTGTCTCCTATAACGTACCATAACCAAAAGTAGCTTCAGAAAAGAACCCCCATATGAAATGTATTCTCGGTCCCACCAATAAAAGTTTTCCTGGATCAATTGAAATTACCTTTGGCTGACGAATCAACTAAGCTTTCATTTGATTGATGCAGCACCTGCATTGATGCAGCACGTATACTTTTTAATCAACGTTTAGCGATTGTCGGCTAATGTTGATTGAAACCATGAGGTGTGGGGGGGGGGTTGCAATCTGGATTATTTAATCTGACATATAAAAGCAGTGATTGAGACTGTGCTTGCTCTGTTTGGGAAAAGAAAGGAGTACCCTGATGGTTCTTAAGGGTTTAATCAATTTCTCTCCCCACTCCCTTCCACAGTGTGGCGCCCTTCTGTGTCCAGGACGGGGTCAGGTGAGTTGTATTCTAGTTGTACCTCATCCTGCTCTCTCTCGGGTCTCCCAATCTATCTCACTTTCCTCCATCCTGCTTCCCAGATTTGCCTTGCACACTTTCCTCCAAACTGGGTTTGGTGTCTGAGCCCCACTCCCAGTTCTGCTACACAGATCCAGTTAATCTTAAGGGACTCCATTAGCTGAGGGTGGCCTTGACCCCGGTATGAAAAGGATCCCAGTGCCAGGTGAACTGCTAGGCTCCCCTGACTCATGTCTCCCCCAGCTTGTCAAAGGGAGGTATATTAGCATCCTGAGAGAGAACATGCAGATCCAAGTAATCTCAGAGTGACCTACATCTCCGGGCTGGGATGACATGCAGTTTGGAACGCTTCCAGAGCCAAGCTTGAGCGACAGGTTGGTACAGCGGCTGAAGCAACAGGCACTGATTTTAGAGGCATTCAAGCCTTGACCAGTGTTCCCTCTAAGCTGAGTTAGTGTGAGCTACCTCACAGTTTTTTATCCTCCGGCTCAGACATTTTTGTCTTAGCTCAGGAAGGAGGGCTCCAGAGCAAACTCATCTATGCAGTAGCCCAAATCGCTCACTAAAAACTTTTACGCCAGTAGCTCACAAAGTAGAATTTTTGCTCACAAGACTCCACAGTTTAGAGCAGCGGTTCTCAACCTGTGGGTCGCGACCCCTTTGGGGGGTCGAACGACCCTTTCACAGGGGTCGCCTAAGACCATCGGAAAGCACAAATTGTTTTTGTGATTAATCACTATGCTTTAATTATGTTCAATTTGTAACAATGAAAATACATCCTGCATATCAGATATTTACATTACGATTCATAACAGTAGCAAAATTACAGTTATGAAGTAGCAATGAAAATAATTTTATGGTTGGGGGTCACCACAACATGAGGGCCTGTATTAAAGGGTCGCGGCATTAGGAAGGTTGAGAACCACTGGTTTAGAGGGACTGTTGGCCTTGACCACAGTGAGTCTTTATGTTGCTTCCCCTGCTCTGGGGTCAAAGGTGGGCAGGGGTGCTCTTGCTCCAGCCATAGCTGATACTTTTGTCGCCCACTAACCATATAGGAAAGCAGGGTTGTCTAATACTCTGCCTGGTAGTAATTAAGCCATCAAATCAAAATAAATTCTCACGTCACCTGAACACCAACACATGCCTTTCTGAGATAGCTACAGAAATGTAAGATAACTCATAGGAGCAGCAGGTTCAAGCCGTAAAACTTCTCCAGTTTCATATCAGGTTACACGATTGCATGTCTGAAAGCTCCCTGATGGGGGAAAAGACTGCCTTTGCACATATGAAAGCTGGGAAAACGCTAGGCAGAATATTACTTGCCTGACAAGCTGGTTTTCTGCATACTGCTTATAAGGTATGTCATCAAATGTACCTCTGCCAAACAGGAACATGCAACTAGAAAGAGAATTGATCCTCATAAAGCTTTTCTGAGTCAGGGCTCACATCATCAGATAGATGACATGTGCATCCATAGCAGATTTATTTACACATAGAGTTGCTTGGGTTGCTAAACTCCAGTTGAGGCCTGGTAGGCTTGCCAAGTCCCCCCGGGGGGCGGGGAAACTCCCACCCGAGAGGCCCGTTACCTGCCAGCAGCGGATCAGGCCCCGGGGAGAACCCCACCCCCAAAGCACGTGACATGCCCGGCGTCAGCACATCACCTGGAAGTGACGCGATCACGTCAGGGGTGGGGCCACAATCATCCGAGGGAAAACTCTATGGTTTTCCCTCGGATGATCGTGGCCCCACCCCCAACGTGCCCGACGTGATCGCATCACTTCCGGGTGACGTGGTTGCGCGCACTCCCGGAGCATCGCTGGAGTCCCCCGCTCCAGCGCCGCGGGGACTTGGCAACCCTAAGGCCTGGAGTTTTCCTGGAATTACAAGTGATCTACAGACTACAGTTATCAGTTCACCCTGGAGGAAATGGCCACTTTGGAAGGTGGATTGTATGACATCGCTTCCTCACTGAGCTCCCTCCTCAGACTCTGCCTCCTCCTCAAATCTCCAGCTGGAGTTGGCAACCCTATGCTGTGGATGTACACTTCATGTATCTGATGAAGTGAGCTCTAACTCACGAAAGTTTGTGCCGGAATGAAGGATCTAAATCAGTGTGCTGTAATTTTCTCAACAGCCTGTATAGTGAACTACAGGCAAGTTCCCAGCTGCCCCACATGGGCCTGATAATCTTCATTCAGTCATGAACTGGCTAAAACTGTATGGACAAAAGAGCAGGCATAACTTGTTCCTAGGTAGGGCTGCATTCCTAACCTTTACACTTCTTCCTCTTCATTCCACAGTCTGCTCTGATGCTTGTCAGACAATTCTGGCTAAGAAAAGTTTTATAAAGATTATTCATTTTTTCTCTCCTCCTCCAAGTTCTTTATGGCCTGATATTTGAATAAGGAATATTCTATCTCCTCTCCACAAAGTCCCTTCGCTTTCACCTCCACAGATGGACCTTCCAAGGCAAAAATTCTGTGGTGTTTTCAGGCCTGAGACTAAACACTGCACCATGCCGACAGAACTCCATCAGACCAGTTTCAAATCCCCATTCAGCCACAAAAGCTCACTAAATAACTTTGTCACTCTTTCAGACAGCCAAACTAGACTTGATGGTGTCCTTGTGGCCGCCACAAAGACACTGTTGTCATTTTAAAGTCATTTTAAAATGCCACACAGCATAGCACTCTTGCCCCCCCCATGTGCTTTCTCAAGTTCTGAAATGGCCGCACCCCTCCCTCACAGACAAGAGTGCCTCAGCCCTCTGTGCTGCAGCCCCAGTCAGGACTGGGCCCTCGCAGCATTTTAAAATGACTTTAAAATGGCGATGGTATCCTCGTGGCAGCCACAAAGACACCATCACATCTAGCCTGGCCCTCAGCCTCAGCTACCTCATAATGTTGTTAAAATGAGATAACCAGGTATTCTTCCTTGAGCTCCTTGAAGGAAGCCTGGGATTAAAATGTTGAAGCCAATGTTGGATCAGGCCAATGGCCCATCCAGTCCAACACTCTGTCACACAGTGGCCAAAAATACCAGGTGCCATCAGGAGGTCCAGCAGTGGGGCCAGGACATTAGAAGCCCTCCCTCTGTAGCCCCCCCCCCAAGCACCAAGAATACAGAGCATCCCTTGCCCCAGCCTGAGAGTTCCTATCTATACCTTGTGGCTAATCGCCACTGATGGACCTCTGCTCCATATGCTTATCTAATGTAATAGATTCTGTTACCAGAAGAGAGGTCAGCTCCTGTTTGAACACTGGGGTGGGGGGGAAGAGGCATCAAGCACAGAGTTAGCCACCAAATCTATTTTTGTAATGCCAGGCCTTGGTTCCGAAAACCGAAAAACAGCAGTAAAGAGTAATTCTGAGCATGTGCACAACTTGAGCAAAACAACTAGCCCCTCAGGCTTCTACAGCTAAAGTGTTGAGCTTAAGGGTAAAAAATGTGACATCCCTGCAGACTTCCAGGGGAGGCATCTCTTTCTAACTTATAGTTTGCTTTTTTTTTGGTAAGATTCTGACCCCTCCTGTTTTTAAAAGCATGTTTTTTTTACAAAAGATAACTTTTTTTAACCATGATTCGTGCTCTGAAAGGCCTGATCCATTATCTCTCCCTTCCTCCCATATGTATCAAAGTTCTAGCATCAGCCAGGTTCTTATTGTACCCAGGAAGAATCGCTCCCTCCCTCCTTCCCGCCACGTGCCGTTGATGTCTCTTACCTGTCGATTTTCAAGGGCAGAGTCCATTCTTCTGAAAGCGGGGCACGCCTGCCCAGAATTCTTGATCAGTGTCACTTTTTGGCGCAGCATCGTTTGTGTGGTCACGGTTGCCATCGGGTCCTATTTGCATGCACACTCAGTCTGAGGCTTGTTGCAGGGATATTATCACCTTCTTGTGTTCTTTCCTCCGGATCATTTTTTTTTAAATGTTGTCAAGTGAGAGATGAGCTCCTCTCTCAGCCCACATGTTGCCTGTGCTGGAAGTTCTGTGGTCTGGATCTCTGACGTATGGCTTGTGCCCTTCTCTCTGCTGCCCGGAATTGACTTGGGAGGCGACAAAAAAAACCAAAATACCCTGCACTCCTTCTGGCTGTGAGTCATCTCCTCCTGAGTGGCCTTGGGGAGTCTGGATGTGTTGTTGTCCAACATCATCTTGGCAAAGACAGTAGCGTATCCCTGGGCAGGCAGACCTGAGCGGCATCTTCTCACTCCCCCACTATCCTCAACATGAGCTCCAAAGCATCATATCTCCTCCAATCCAAACAATGAGCCCAGGATTGCATTATTAGACCAAGGTTCTTTGTGTTGGGGTAATTTGTTCCCTCTTCAGCCTTGTTGCTACCTGCTGTTGATTCAAAAATATCCCAAGGTGCTCTGAATAGATCCGAGGGCTGTGTCTGCAAGATCACAATGGGGCTACATTATATTTATGTGTGCAGGTCTATATCATACACAAGTTCAGGGAGGGAGGGAGGGAAACATATAATATGGCTCTGTGTGCAGAATTCTCACGTGCCTTTTTCTAAGTAAGTTTCTAGCATTCACAACTATGAAATGGCCATTCGGTTGCCTGATACTTTGAGGCCAGCAAAAAGGGGGATTTGAGCAGATAGTTGTACACAAGAAAAAAGCTATAACTTCGAGGAAGGAAAAATAAACATCTGGGACATCTGAATCTCTTCCTCCCCCCCCTCCCCAGCAGTCCTGATGCACTGCCTTGGTTTAAAGACAGGTGCGGTAAGCTCCTTGTTATCTTGCCCTACAGATGTAGTGAATGGCTGGATTGTTCATCATTTGTCATGCTACAAAAGAAAATGCCAAGCTCAGCTCAGGGCAATGGAGTCAAATGTTCTTTTTTTCCCTTCAAGGAGATGGATCTCTCTCTCGGGAATCTTGCCCTAGCAGGCTCTGTAATGTCCCAAAGTTCCCAAGGGAGCGCGTTCTTTACTTACTAGCATTTTGAGGACCGTGTGTTCTGCCGTGTCCTCGGTTTTCTGATGCTCTCCCCTTCTTTGTGGTGGTAAATGTTGAGCCTGTAGTTGTCATTTTAAAAAGTCCCTCTAACAAGGTATGTCTGAAAAGCTGTTAGATCACTTACAAAAGTCTATGCAGCCAGCGGTGCATTCTT